ATAAAACACAGGTAAACATCTTTCTGGTATTCTCTGCTTTCAGCCAAGATCCATCCGACATCAGCAACGATATCCCTGGTTCCACGTCCTCTTCTGAATCTGGCTTGAATTTCTGACAGTTCCCTGTTGATGTACTGCTGCAACTGCTTTTGAATGATCTTCAGCAAAATTTTACTTGTTTGTGATATTAATGATATTGTTTGATAATTTCCACATTTTGTTGGATCACCTTTCTTGGGGATGGGTACAAATACAGATCTCATCCAGTTGGTTGGCCAGGTATCTGTCTTCCAAATTTCTTGGCGTAAACGAGTGAGCACCTCCAGCACTGCATCTGTTTGGTGAAACATCTTAATTGGCATTCTGTCAATTCCTGGAGCCATAGTGGCAGCATTATCATAACACTGAGAGTGAAATATCATTAGTCACCTTCCAGTTTTTTAAGAATGGCAGAACCAAGGTCAGCTGCTTATTTCCCCTTTAGAGGGAAAAATCCTAGACAGGCTTCTTTCACTTCAGCCTTCCTATTGTTGATCACTTCAGACATCTAGTCAGTATGTGATATGTCAAGTGTGCTGTTGAACATGATCCCAAAGTACCTCACAAACTTTATGTCCGTAACAAGCTTCTCCTTCACATGATTTGCCAGGGCACTTATAAACTCATTCTGAATTTTTTATGCAAGATAAGAGGCTGTTACTTTAAGTTTACTTGTGCTACACTTTAATTCATTAGGTGCTCTTTCAGCACTGAATCATATTTTGAAAGCATTTCAACCATCTCAAGAAAGTTCCCTTTATTTAACAAAGATTCATTTCCTTGTGGTCATGGAATGCCCGATTCTGCTTGGCAAGAAACAATGTCATATCAAGAATCTGTGCAAGATGTCCCTCCACTTTTTCTTCTCTATTACCATCAAAGCAATACTTTTGGAGTTAATGGTTTTGTGCAGCCTCAGTCCTGTTGCCAATGTTTTCTACTTTTCAAGGCAACGTGCTCTTTGGAAGTCACATGCTTATGTACTTTCGGGCTCAGTTTCCATCATTTCTGAAACCCAGTCAGAAATTTGGATGTCATATCTGTAGCACTAATGGCAGTCAGCAGCAAAAACAGTATAAATTCTCCTGAGCAAACCATCCATGACTGCAGAATTTTCTTGCTATTTGGCAGCACTTTGTAAAACCATTCTTTTAAAAGCTGACACATATTTCCCTTTGCTTTTGCATCTTGCCTTGCCATAACACCGAAAGGCTCATCTTTGTTCTGGAAAGGAGTATTTCCCTTTTTGATGGTTTCAACCCAAAAATGATCTGGAACTGGTATCTCCCAGAAAGAAATATCACACAAAATTTACAAATCATTCTCCTTAATGTCACTCATCTCATTTACAGTATCATGGCTAAAGTCTCTTTCAGCACATTCTTTTGCTTCAAATTCTACCATTTCCACTCTTTGCTCTTCTGCAGAATGTGTGCTAGTATCAGAAGAATCAGCTTTATCAATTGGAGACTGACAAACAGTGTCTTTTGCTGAACCCTGGGCATCATCCAGTCTTTTGACATATTGAAGCATGTATCCCACATATGTTCTGAGTAATTTAATTCTTGTGTCGTTTACTTTCCTTTGGAGCCCTGGTGGTGCAGTGGTTAAGAGTTCAGCCGCTCCTTGGAAACCATATGGTGGGCAGTTCTACTCTGTCCTATAGGATTGTTATGAGTCAGAATCAACTCTACAGCAACAAGTTTGGGTTTTGTTTGGTTTTGTTTGGTTTTTTTGCTGGCATCTACTTAGCCTCTTTGATTTATGCACTCCATGTGGCATGATAGAATATCCCTGCTCAATTAAAAAAAAAGACAAATTAGCAATATTAAAAAAAAGAAAATGTAAAATGTAAATCTATTGAATGTCAGTTCTAGCAAATATAAATTTTAATGTGTCACTGTTTTTTAAACCACAATTCAAACTTGAACCCTGAATATTTCATTAAAATCAGACATATACTTGGAAGATGCTGACGTTTTTAAAGAAAATTAAAAAAGAAAAAAAAATTATGTGAATTTAAGATTTAAATTATATTTCTAAACATAATTGGAGTCCGGAGGTAAGGTGGGTGTCAGGGTTGACTTAGTCCAGTGGCTTCAGTCCCATTTCCCTATATTTCTCTTGGATCTTTCCTTCTCTCTGGACCAGCTTTACCCTCAGCATAGTAAGAGGATAGCTGCCACAATGACAGACTACAATCTGTGGAGAAAAAGAAAGAGAGAAAATTGTTTGTGGAATTCTTCCAGGAGGAAAATATGGCAGACAAGTTACTTGTGGTCACATGGCTGCTGACTGAGTTAGAGACCTACCTACATTTCCAAGCCTTCCTTGCAGCTAGTGTGCCATGTGACCAAGTTCTTGCCAATAGAAATAACATGTACAACTCATTTACTTAAAAGGAAATTGCTTACTCTGGACTTCCTCACTTTCTCCTTCCTGCAAGTTGCCTCATGGTAAAGGCAGCACCCAGCTTTAACCATGCGGACAAGGACAATGTCCTAAGAGATGGCAGAGCAACAAGACAGAAAGAACAAGAGTCTCTGAATGATCCATGCAACAAAGCTATCTTGCCAGACTAGACTGGTCAAATAGTTACATGAGAGGAAAATAAACTTTTATCTTATTTGATCCATTGTATTTGAGAGTCTCTTTTATCTCAGCTTTTACACTAACTAATATACAGGATGAACTATCCCAAAGTCTCCAGAGAATGCCCTTGATGTCTCATGTCCTCATGGTCTGAGTTACATAAATGCCTCCTCCTAAGCTAAGGGGGATGGGATTCCCGTTAGACCAAAAAGACTCACACTTTAAGGTAGGGATGAGGTCAGCTGTTCAGAGGCAACCCAACTCATGACTACTGCTGCATGGAGGAGGTGTGGATGCCTCAATGAAATGGAGATCTGCTAAAAAGGAAGAAAGGAGAAGGAAAGAATGGATGCTGGGAAGAGTGACTACCAATAACATCAAAGATACTGTCAAATTCTATACAGCTCTTAGAAAGAATAAGATCTATATGTATTGACATGGAAAGATGTCCACAATGTCATGGGCTATTTAATAAAAAAAAAAAAAGCAAGTTACAAAATCATATTACCACACCATACCATATGATTATTAAAGTATTATTCCATTTGGTGAAAAAAAATTTTAAATATTTAAAGCCAAATACATATATATATATATATGTATATATATATATACACACATATATATATTAACCAAAACACAAGCTCATTGCCATCGAGTAAATTCTAGCTCACAGCAAGCCTATGGAAGAGAGTAGAACTTCCCCATAGGGTTTCTAAGGCTATAATGTTTACAGAAGCAGACTGACACATCTTTCTCCCATAGAGTGGCTGGTGGGTTTGAACTGCTGACCATTAAGTTAGTAGCCAAGCTCTTAATCACTGCACCACCAGGGAGATGTATATATATATGTTAGGTGCTGTCGAGTGAGTTCTGACTCATAGTGACCCTACGTACAACAGAATGAAACACTGCCTGGTCCGTATATATATATATATATATGTGTGTGTGTGTGTGTGTGTGTGTGTGTGTGTGTGTGTGTGTGTATTTGAAAGTACCATGCTATAACAGTAGTTACCTCTGTAGCATGAAGGAGAATTTTTATTTTTAGTTTTAATCATTTGCTTCATATCTTTATTCTGATATTTATCCCTTTTGTAATAATAAAATATACATAAGGTGGGGAATAAGGAAGGGGGCAAGTCAGAGAAAGAGGGGGAGAATAAGAGAACCTGGAAGAAGGCTAATCTGGGTCCTGGGAGAAGTTGGCAAGTCTGGAACACAGGCTCCTCTGCTGCGCAGTTTCCCACACCCCCAAAGTCTCAGAAGCTACAGCTGGGTCAGAACCATGGGTCCTTCTCTGTGCCCAGCAGACAGGGCAGTGGGGATGACCCCCTCTTATTCTACTACTGGGTCTGGTTTGAGGTATGTGTTCTTGCTCGTCATTGAAGCTTTGAGACCATCTCTCCCTCTTCTTCCCTAAAACCCAAGAATCAGTTCAGGCCATGACACTATACCACCTGCTACCATCCTCTGTTGCAGTTTTCTACACACTTCCAGGACGTCTCCCCTCGTTTCATGAATGGATCTCTGACTCAATGCCTCTCTCTTTACCTAGACTCCTGTCATAATTTTCAGTGATTTTAAAATCCAAGTAGACAATCTTTCCATGCTGTGTCCTCTCAGTTCCTTTTCCTGGTTTCTTCTAACCATCCTATCCTCCACCTGGTCTCAGCCACCCTCCACTGTGTTTCTACTCTAGACCAGTTCTGTCCAATAGAGCCTTCTGCCTTTATGAAAATGTTTAATCTTCACTCTTCAATACGGGAGCCACTGGCCATGTGTGCTATTAAGCACTTGAAATGTGGCTAGTGCAAACGAGAAAATAAATTTTTTATTTTATTTAATGTTAATTAATTTAGATTTTAATAGCTACGTGTGGTTAATGGCTACTATATTAGACAGTGTAGATCTTGACCTTATCATTCCCAACAAGTGTAACACTCCACAGTCTCAATTACAAGCATCCCATTCTTCATCCACCATGTCACATTCTTCCACCTAACTCCTTCTAATAAAATACTCTCTTCAGACCTCTGGGATTTCCAATACAAACACCTACCATCTTTCGCTGTCCCACCTCCCCTCATTTTTTTACTTTTATGGTTCAAGAGACGATCATTTCCAGAAGAGTAAGTAGAATGCCTGTTTCACTGGCAAGGCTGTGATTTTGGGTACCTTGGTGCCCTCTAAAGGCTACACTGAGAACGAAGGAGCTACCGCTTGCTTTCTACACTTCTGGGGCTGGGCCAGAATTGTGACGTTTAGCAGGGTGGGGAAAGAGGCAGGAAGTACTTTTTGTCCTACGAATCCGAAGTTACATTTTAACTCGTCATTTAGCCCTCCCTTGAGATCACGGAAGTTACCAAGTTCATGTCGTACACAACTTATTTTTCCTTAGTGAGCGTACATTCTACTGTCACCTGTATGACAGAAAGGACAGTGCCTGAGAACACTTTGGTCAAAGTCAGCTTCCATTTATTTTTCTTTTAGAAAAAAGAATTTGGATTTCAAGGTTTTTTTGTTCTTGTTGTTTTGTTTTGTTTTTTGTTTTTTTAAAAACAAACACTATCTTTGGCTATCTGGCTTTGAGAATAACTTAAGTCAGAGTATCTGCTTTATGCCAACAAGGTAAGTGTTTTTTGTTTTTCTTTTTAATGGGGAAATATTTCCAGAAGCTGCTTTTGCAGAGGGTGAATGTTCTCCTTGAAGAGTGCATTCCTTAAGAAAGAATGTGATTACATTCTTCTGGAACCTCTAGATTAACGTTAAAGCAACAGAGTTAAAGAAAGAGACAGAGGCAGAGGAAAGCTTAGGGAAACAAAGTTATGTTATGGGGTGAGGGGGCCATCTGAAAAGCAGGTGTCAATAATAATAACAGAATCATGGGACTTTCAGTGATTCTAGGAACACCTCTGTGTTCATCTTGTGTATGAAGTGGAAGTACCAGGCATTGGAAAACGCCAAATACTCAGTCGAAAATACTGGTGGATAACGATAACAAATGTAAACAGATCAGAATCCAAACTCAAAGAAATCATAATCAATTACAGGATTTGTAAATCACCCGGTCTCTCCGTGTCTCAGAAATAATTCCTACCTTTGCTTGTTGGTCAGGTATGCGGCGAGATTATCATGTACAAAAGTCCAATCCAATACACTAGAGCTCCTTTCTGCCATCGGACTAAACTCACGCCATCTTCGAGCTACAAAGGACTTTGCTTTTGTAGTGCATTTTCTAGTTTACAAAGAACTTAAACATGCCCTTCAAGCCTGCAGTATTTATTCCTACATTTGAATTCACATCTATTTCTAAGCACTAATTATTTGGCATTCAGGCATTAAAAACGTAGTCTTTTCAAGCTGAAGGGAAACACAAAGAAAACTACTGCAAACCTCTATTTCACAAACGTGAAAACAAAAGCACAGAGAAATCAAAGATTTTGTCCAAGGTCACACAGCTAAGTGGAAGCAGAAACAGTACTAGAACTCAGATCTCCCAATTTCCAGTTCTCTCTCTAACTCAACTATTGGTTTAAAGTCTATTTTTAAATGGCTGTCCCCACTCAGAAATTCATAATCTGTAAATATGGTGTAATTTTAAAAGGTGCAAATTCCCAACTTGTTTTTGCTGCGTGTACAGTCTCTAAAACACAAGATGTTTTTGCCCGGGACCCTTTTTAGCCCACAGCCCACTTCTGTGCCTTTCACTGGGTCTCCAGGCAGGGCAAAACAGCTCAGGAGAGTCTGCAAGCATTGGCGCCCAGAGCACGATAGGACTCGACACATGGTGGGGAGGCATGTCTGCTATCTCTGTATAGTGGCACCTCCTTGAGGACATTCACTGGGCCTTTTTTTGTTGTTGTTGTTAAAGACTTTATCACTATTATTTAGTAACTGGGTCTTAAGCCACACTTGGAGGGCCCCCGTGCTTGGCTCAGTACCTGCACTTAGAGTTACCCAGAATGCATCTGTAAAATTAATGAGTTAATTTGCAGCCAGTCTATAAACTTCTGCACATTTTTCACTTTTCCAATTCAGTTAGTAACCATTTATTTTGTGTTGTTATTGCAAAGATAGAGCACAGCTGAGATCTACCAGCTCCAGACCTCTACCTAGTAAGCTGGAAATTCAAGGGTTCTTATTGGTGGGTGTCATTTATTTCTGGCTGGAGGTAGTCTAGACCTCCTACTCCTCAACCTGAAGGAAGCCACAGGTATGTTTCCAGCCTGGAATATCTTTTTTATCTGTGTGAGCTGTCTTTCTAGGGAGAAGAGAGGGAAAGGGGAAAGACAACTAGAGAGGGAGGGGAGCAAACAATGAATGAGTAGTTTGTACTAGGCACTTTATGTCAGTAATGTCACTTTATTTAAAACTCAAACAATCCTTCAACACTGGTATTTTTCTTATTATACAAATAACGAATCTAAGAGTGTTTCAGTAGGGTGCTCGGGTCACATGGCTAGTCAGTAGCAGAGGCAGACTTCAAACCAGTTCTGCTGCCACCAAATTCCATTCTCATGCAGCCCACCTGTTCTCCCAAATACCTATTGCCGTCAAGTAGATTCCAATTTACAGTGACCCTATAGGACAGAGTAGAACTGCCCCACAGGGTTTCCAAGGAGTGGCTGGTGGATTCGAACTGCCGACCTTGGGGTAGCAGCCAAACGCTTAACCACTGTGCCACCAGAGCCCCCATTCTCCCAAATACAGACTCAAAAAAACTAAGAGTCTAAGGGGAAGAGGTGTGAATTTTGTGATAGATAATGAAGCCAGGTAAGGAATTCTCAACCTTACAAAGGGCAAGACGGTTAATAAGATTTGGAAACAGGCAGCCCTCAGAAATCCCTCTGATCCTTGTCGCAAGTCCATGGATCTGCTCCGGACCCAGGTGAGTCCAGGGAGTCAGAGATTCAGAAGTATTCTTTCTACCCCCGTAGAGACAGCAAATCTACTTTGTTTCCATGCCTAGGCATTCTGATCTGTTCAAGAGGCAAGTTGTAAAACCATGGGGACAAACTCCCCCAAGCCAGTTCCAGAAGTGTTACAACAAACCCTGAGCCCAGGCAAGGCTCAGTGTCGGGAATCATAAGGCACCTTAGGCTCTCAGACCAATGAGAAGTACACATCCAGGCTTCAGAGCCAGATACCTGGGTTCAAATCCAGACTCTGCCTCTTATTAGTAGCGTGGCCTTAAATTGTGTCAAATGATAATACTACATGTTTTTCCCAGTTACTGGGACTAAGGACTCCATAAATATTTGCTCTCTTGGTTACCCAAGACAGATACCACTGTGATAAGTGACATAACACCACAAAAATCATATAAAGGTTATCCAGCAAAATCTCTCCTCAAAAATTGCAATGCCTTCAAAGGCAAGATAAAATCACTTATATATACTATATGTATAAATAGTTTCAGATCTCAGCTACTCTTTGTGTGTTTTCTGGACTGGCCAAGAGGGTTGCAGGGAAAAGCAGCACTTGCAACTGAGTCTACCTGGCGTGTCAAGGGCTTCAGCATGACCTGAACCTGATTTGCTGGAATTAACTGACTGGTTAATCCATCTGATCAAAGCAAAAGCTGTGTTGAGGTTTTTGGAAGATGGAATTATGAAATCAAGAAAAACTGGCTATAAATCCCCATAAGATATACTTCCTCCAGTCTACCCCTGACAAACATGGACATTCCCATTTCCACCTGACCTCATGTTGAACTCCAGAATGTCCCATATGACTTGCCTTGAGTACTGTGTTCTGTGTTATGGTCAGTTGGTCTTGCCTTTGTGCAAGGTCAAAGTCCCCCTCAATTCATGTAATACCCTTGTTGCATGGTAGGGCACGGCCCAGGGCCAGCTATTCTTCAGTCTTTTAGATGCTTCATATAAAAGCCAATGCTTTTTGCTGCAGTTTCTAGGATTCAGAAGGACCAGGTGACAGCAAGGAGCCCCTTTAATACTGAGGAGATCTAGAGTGTTAAGGGAATCAAGGCCCTGGCTACACTAGCTAATAGTAATAATAATAGCTAAATTTAATTGAGCACTGACTATTTAACAGAGACCCTTACAACATAATCAGTCATTTAATCTTTATAACAAATCTTTTAAATAGGAATTATTATTGTCATCATCAACCCATTTTACTGATGTGAAAAGTGAGTCACAAAAAGGACAAACAGCTAGCCCAAGGTTAGACAGTTAATAAGTGATGAAGCCAGGATTTAAACCAAAACTGATTTCAAATCCTGTATTTTAACTGATTCTGCCTCCACTCAAAGGTGAAAGAAGGGTATTTATAACACTATAAAAGTTGAGTCCTGTGACAATTTCTCCCTCCCACTCCTATTGTCTATAGAAGCTCTGCTTGACTTTCCTCTAACAAAGCATATTATGGCCAAGCGAGTTGCAGTGATTGGAGCTGGTGTGAGTGGCCTCTCCTCTATCAAATGCTGCTTGGATGAGGACCTGGAGCCCATCTGCTTTGAGAGAAGTAATGACATCGGGGGACTGTGGAAGTTTACCGTGCGTAGTTCACACCCCCCCCCCCATCAACTGTAATCTGGAGGTTTGCATTATTCTTGTTCAGGCACGGTGGTTTTAGCCTACTTTGGTGATCAAGGAAGGGAACAGCTCCCTGCAACAATGCATAGACAAGTGCATGGCACGGTGCCAAGCACTGTGCAGGAGATAGTCTGCTAAGTGATGCATCTTGAGAATTGGCAGGGCATGGTCAGGGACGGTTGGGAGAGAGGAAGAAAAAGTTAAGTGTACTAGAAAAAGGGGATTTTATAATGATTTCTGGACCATGGGCATTCTACAGCAAAGTAACAGAATTTCGCATTGGATAAGCGGAACAGCATTGGTGAACACAGAGCAGATGACACTCTAGGGAGGATGGAACTCAGCAACAGGAAGTGGAACTTCTGCCACCAGGCATTGTTCAGGTATTTAGGATGAGAACTGGCAAGGGTGAGGCAGGACTCCAGACCTTGGAAAGTGTAAGTGATGGCTTTCACATTATCAGAATAAGAAGAACCAGGCACTGCCCAATCCTTGCTAGAACTAGGGTATGCTGCCTGGGAGGCACACGTGAGGGCCATGCCAGCAGTAAGGTGACTTGAGCATCAGAAAGTGGGGATGGAAGTAGTTTAATACCACCTGCCTCTGGCCAGAATTGGTTACAAGGTCTTCAGCGGGGATCTGCCAGGCAGGTCCAAATACTAAATGCTTCAGTAGAAGGGAAGAGAAACATTCAGTGGGAACTCAAGACGGGGGAGACTAATTCTAACTAAAAAAAAATGAAAGAAAGCTTCATGGAGAAGGTGGCATTTGCATAGATATTTGATAGATAGTGGAAAAAATAGAATAAGCAAATGTATATAAGTAGGAGTGGTCACAAGCTTAGATTGTAGTGTACTAGGGAAAAAAATCTTTTTTCTGGTGAGCTGTGAGATTCATCAAGCCACCAACTGTCAATAGGTCTGTTTGTGTACCTTCTGCTATTTGACATGTGGTTGGTTTGATTTCCTTCCCTATTCTGAAATAATACAGATTAATTTTAGAAAATAATATTGAGTTAAACAAAAGGTAAGATACAAATTAAAAATAATAACAAAACCCACAGGCAGGCACTATTAAAAGTTTGTGGACCCCTTTCAGCTGGGCTGGCATGAGCCACCAGGATCTCTGTTCTCTCCATCCTATCTCCCCCACCTCATCAAGCTAACTATGCCTTAACCATAGGAAACATCTAAAGATGGGATGACCAGGGTCTACAAGTCATTAGTGACAAATGTCTGCAAGGAAATGTCATGTTACAGTGACTTCCCCTTCCAAGAAGATTATCCCAATTTCATGAAGCAAGAAAAATTTTGGCACTATCTCCAAGAATTCGCTGAGCACTTTGACCTTTTAAAATATATTCAGTTTAAGGTAAGACATCTTGGATTGTAGAATGTTAATGAATTGGGGTGCCCTATTCAACGATCTTATAGAAATGGGATTCTTCACTTCTCTTACTGCTCTTGTTTTACTCAAATAAATCATTAAAATACTGAATTTCCTGATTCCTCCTCTAGATACCAACACTCTCATTAAGGATGAAATGTAGAATTTTTTGAGAGATAGGGAAAAAAGAATTTTTGTTGATAAAACCCATTGTGAAGAAATAACTAGAAGTCTGAACTACAGAAATTAAAATGGGTCAAAACTCATTTTCCTAAATGTTTCCAATGTGTTAGATATCGTAACTCATCTCTTTCTCACCAGGAATAAAAACTGTGTCTTCCTTCAAATCAAAAGAATCAGATGTCTTTGGTGCTAGTCTGTCTTACAACCTGTGGGAACTTGTGCAAGCTATTTAACTTCCCTGAGAAGATAAACCAATATTTATAGACCTCGTCTCACGGGACTTGGTGTACTTAAAATAGCAAGCATGGTTATCATACTAGTTATTGCATATGATCCCAAAGTATTGGTAGGAAGCACATGCTTGTCTTCTGCTTTCAGACCACTGTGTGCAGTGTAACAAAATGTCCAGACTTCTCTGTAAGTGGTCAGTGGGATGTCATCACAGAGACAGAGGACAAAAAGGACAGAGCTGTCTTTGATGCTGTCATGGTTTGCACTGGACATTTCCTGAATCCCCGTTTACCTTTGGAGTCATTTCCTGGTAAGTCATTTCCACCTGGGACCATGCCTACTCTTCTAGGTTCTTCTAGAAGAAAAGTCATTGATTTGTAATTGGAAATACTTCCTCATGATATAAACAACTTTATGTTCACTCTCAGAAACAATATATACAAAATTACTCTGAAAGGTATAAAACACTATGTAGGTGTCAGATGTTATTATTTACTTAAGAATATAAATGGTACTGCTGTTATTATTTAAGCTGTGTCATACCCAATTCAAATGCAGTGACCACATAAGGCTCAAAGCTATCAGACCTGTCATTAAAAAAAAAAAAAAAAATGCTTTGATTTTTGTGATCAGATTATAGGTCATTTGAATCAGGAGTCATCTGTTATTTAAGAACTTAAAGGAAGGGAGAGTATAAGGAAATTTGACAGATTTGTTAAGAAACAAGCGAGAGATTATACATGTAAAGGAATATTCTCACCCTTCAAAATAGTCACCATGGTAATAACCCATGCACCTCCTGAACCAGGATTATCAACAAAAAGGAGTTTTAGAAATTCCCTTTTGGGAGTGTTTTGACTCCATCACCACATTCTTTTTAATATACTCACAATTGGCAAAACATCGTCTTTTGAGGTCCAAACTGATTTGAAAAGCCCAAAGCTATTCAAATTTAGGTGAGGGAGATAATGTTAGTCATAACAAAGATTACGAAAACGTGGTAAAGCTACTATTCTCCTATGACTTATAAGCGGCCCAAAAAAGCAATTCAGTAAGTGAAGTTTCAAAACTTCAAGAAATTGAAATAACTTTTAAGGAAGGAAGAATGTGAAGAAAAAACTGAAAACTTTGGCAAAAATTCTTACAAACTCAGTCTCAAATTAACAAAATATTGTATACCCCCCCCCCAAAATGTATTTAGGAATCGAGTGAGAACTGAATATATAATTTTGCAAAGAAGAAATACTGTAAATAGTGATTGGGCTTCAGGTGTGCTGCTGGGCTAGGGGCTGAATACATAATCATACAGTACTAAAGGAATATACAACCACCTCTTATAACAATGCTTCTGTAGGAAAATGTGTTGTAAGTGCCAAAAAATTGATATAGATAATTTTGAAATTTACTGTCCTATCAGATGTGTGATGTCTTACCTTTTATTCCTAAGTACCTTCAGTTAAACCTAGACTATAACCATACTTATTCAACCTGTATGCTGAGCAAATAATCTGAGAGGCTGGACTATATCAAGAAGAAAGCAGCATTAGGATTGAAGGAATACTCATTAACAACCTGAGATATGCAGATGACATGATCTTACTTGCTGAAAGTGAAAAGGACTTGAAGCACTTACTGATGAAGATCAAAGACCACAGCCTTCAGTATGTATTACACTTCAACGTAAACAAAAATCCTCACAACTGGGCCAATAAGCAACATCATGATAAATAGAGAAAATATTGAAGTTGTCAAAAATTTTGTTTAGTTGGATCCACAATCAACACCCATGGAAACAGCAGTCAAGAAATCAAACAACGTATTGCACTGGGTAAATCTTCTGCAAAAGACCACTTTAAAGTTTTAAAAAGCAAAGATGTCTCTTTGAGGACTAAGGTGCGCCTGACCCAAGCCATGGTCTTTTCAGTTGCCTTATATGCATGTGAAAGCTGGACAATGAATAAGGAAGACCAAAGAAGAATTGAAGCCTTTGAATTATGGTGTTGGCAAAGAATATTGAGTAATCCATGGACTGCCAGAAGAACGAACAAATCTAGTCTTGGAAGAAGTACAGCCAGAATGCTCATTGGAAGCCAGGGTGGCGAGACTTCATTTCACATACTTTGGACATGTTATTAGGAGGGATCAGTCCCTGGAGAAGGACATCATACTTGGTAAAGTAGAGGGTCAGCAAAAAAGAGGAAGACCCTCAACGAGATGGATTGACACAATGCCTGCAACAATGGGCTCAAGCATAACAATGATTGTGAGGATGATGCAGAACTAGGCAGTGTTTCCTTCTATTGTACATAGGGTCACTATGAGTCAGAAGCAACCTAACAACAACAACAACACAACCAGAGAATGCTGTTGCAAGAGATCAACCAAGAGCTGAGAGGCAAGCATTACATGGCAGTATAAAATGTATGAACTGCCAGATGTGATGCCAAGGAAGGAGGCTGGATAAACATGAACTAGAATAGCAAGGTAGTTGGATCATTTTGTTTGAGAACAAACGTTTCTACATACCTTAGTGCCTCTGGAAAAAAATAATAATTGCAATAGAAATGGGGTGCTCCCCTCTTTTGCCCTAAAACCCAGATTTTAGAGAAGGAAGAAACCCACACATACAGCGTTCACATACTCTCCCTAAGGAGGTTTTAGTTTATGTTCCAGACTTTGGAAGGTCTGTTACAGAGATCACCAGGCAGGACAGATTAATCCCAATTTTCTCTCTGTTCTGAGAGCAAGGGTCTTTGGTGAGTGGGTAAAATGTGAGGTGTCCAGGGACCCTGGTCTGCTACAGTCCCCTCAGGGTAATGGCCTTCAATAGGTGACATTTAGCATAATGGTTATGAACAAAGCTCTGGAGTCAGACAGCTGGATCTGTAATGCCTTTGAATTATGGTGTTGGCAAAGAATATTGAATATACCATGGACTGTCAGAAGAACGAACAAATCTGATTATGGTAGCATAATCGTGGGTAAATTACTTTCCCTCTCTAAACCTCAACAAAGTGGAAATGAGTTCGCATTCATAAAGTGGTTATGAGGATTAAATGAGATAATCCATGCAAAATACTTAGCATAGTACAGCGCGCTCTATAACTATTAACTACTACTGCTATGAATCATGGCCCAGTGTTAACTCTTAACGATCTTCTAAGAATTGTTCAACAGAACCTGCTCACTAAGAGGTATGAGACTCCACCAGATAGAGACATATTTATTCCTTTTAGTAAATTATAGCCCGGTCACAGCAGTCATTCCACCTCTTTGTAGTGGCTCCTCCATATCTCCTAACGGAATCCCGGGATGGGAAGTACAAAGACCAGTTCTGCTGCAGGTCGTCCCTGTTCATCCCAATCTGCTCCACACAGAAGTTGTATAAGAGTCTGTAAAGACGCATCAGTTGTGATCATTAGTCACACAATTGCCTGATTATATTTGTTAAATTATTAATAAATTTTCAGACCATTGTAAATGGAACTCAAATGACTAGTCCTCCTTCTCCTAAGGTAGTTGCTAAGCATTTTCCAACACATAGCAGTAGGAGAGGAGCCCTGGTGGCTCAGTGGTTAAGAGCTCAGCTGCTAACCAAAAGGTCAGCAGTTCGAATCTACCAGCTACTCCTTGGAAACCTTATGGGGCAGTTCTACTCTGTCCTATAGGGTCATTATAAGTCAGAATCGACTTGATGGCAAAGGGTGACCATTAGGACAATAAGCAAAAGATCAATAAACCATAATAGCAAAGCACTCCAGGAATTTTTGCTGACAAGACAAACTAAGCCCTGTTATCCTCAGCAGACCCTGAAGGTCTCACTGTGCAAGAGTACAGTAATTGAAGCTAATAAGTGTGATCTTGAATTATCAATGTTTCACTTTTAAGGCAAACTTCAGAAAAACTTCAATTAAAAACATATAAGATTTTCATGTTTCTGTGCTAAATGGTCCAGTTATCTGAACACTCCGCTCTCCAGAATGTTGTATTTCCTAGCATGGAGTAATGCATTTATTATATGGCATTGCAATTCTCAAAAATGAGAGGATGGGACCCTGGAAGTACTCAGTAGATCCCTAATTCCTTTGCCTCCCTGACCTCACCCCAAGACACTAATGTGAGGTATAAAAAGGAAAGTACACTAAAATGAAAGCTGAGCTTTTAAGTAAATTCACTGCAGCATATAATGTTGTTGTTGTTAGGTGCTGCCAAGTCGGTTCCAACTCATAGTGGCCCTATGTAGCACAGAACGAAGCACTGCCCGGTCCTGCGCCATGCTCACAATCATATTCAATGTGTTTGTTGAATAAAATCAGATGCCTACAAGCCTTTTATGAAAACAATCTGAAAAAAAAAGAATGAGTGTAATGATCAGTATAGAGTATCACTGCATCCTAGTGTTTCTCACAGTGAGAAACCCCGCTGCTACACCCCAACCACTGCCAAGACCAGAGACGCTTATTTTAAAAGCAGGTTAATGCAGCACTTACAGAATAAGAATCTCTGAAAGTGGGACGCTGGAATCCTAATACTTAACAAACTCCCCCAGCAATGTGATTCTTATACAAACTGAAGTCTGAGGGTCACTTCCATAGCCCAAAGTAAAGGCCTGGTGGTTAAGACAGGCCTGGGTTCAAGTTGTGGTTCCAGCATTTATGGGTGAATGGGAAAATCACGTATCCTGAGTCCCTATTTTTGCATAAATTCAAGTAAATTGAGTGACTTCTTCCCATGACTGCTTCAGGATTAAATCAGCTATGACCATGGAGTGCCCATAACAGGACCAGGCACAGAGGGCGTGCTCAGGAAAAATTAGCAACAAGTGTTAATATGAAGAAATTCTGCCCTCTCTCTTCGAGAAAAAGAAATGGAAAAAAAAATGAATCAATGGTATCAAATTGAACATAGTTATCCATTGCTATTTCCAGAGGAAACTCAATCATTTAAGCCATCTGGAAAAGAAAAAACTATAAAGTAGTGCAAAGTACACAGGAATTGAAGTCATACAACCTGAGTTCAGACCCTGCCTCTGCTATTTATTAGCTGTAAAAAAAGTCACTTAACCTGTCTAAGCACCAATGGATTTACCTGTAAAATGGGGATTAAGACGGCCTGCACCCAGGAAGATTAAGATCCTTACGTGAGAGAATACCTATGAAAACACCTGATAAAATGGGCTCACTCCATAAAGATTTTTTGTAAAAGGTAGCTTTCTGATATAACTTGAATTCATTCTTGGATTAAACTAACAATACGATTTACTGTGCATAAAGCAATTAGAGAATTGCTCTTTTAGCCATCAATGTTTAAAGTTCAGAATCTTGCATCAGAATGTCTGGGGGTCAATCTCAGCTGCCCTATTTACTGACAGTGTGATCGGAAGTAGATTGCCAGGACTTTCTTTCCAGGTGCTTCTGGGTGGACTTGAACCTCCAACCTTTTGATTAACAGCCGAATGTGTTAACAATTTACACCACCCAGGGACTCCAAGCACTCTATAAATGTTATTAAAACTGCTGTAGAAAATGTCTTTTGAATCTGTTAAGGATTCCTGGCCTCTGTTTATTCTAAGATTGAAATCTCTTCCTTCCTAAAACAAACCCCACCATGTATATATGCACTCTGAAACACATACCTCTATGATAAAGCAAATATTTCAAGCACCTCAGCAATCCAGAAACTAACATGAAATAGCTAGATGATTCCTTCATGGAAAGGGTGAGGGATTAGAAGACAAAGCTCTGACCAAAACCCAGTTTGAGAATAGATTTAGTAATTTCTGTCCACCTTGGTTTACAACGGAGTGCAAGAGAGCGACAGCTGTTTGGGTAATGATTAAAAAATGCTCTCAAAACCACTTTGAAATCTGGCTCAGTTTCACTCATTTTAAGATTCCTTTTCTACTTTCCACCAATCACCAAATTATCTTTCACAAAAAAATTAAGTCCTCTCTCGAAAATGAATATTTCACTTGTGAACCTGAACTCTTCTTTGTATAGCTAGTACCAGGACTGTTTCTACCTTATCAATAGGAAAAGTGCGTGGACAGCCCAAGCTTTGTCTACAGGTGTCACTACAATAATTTGAAAGTTAAAAATTGTAAAACAAGCCCTTTTTTTATTTAAATGAATTGTCTTTTTCTTTTTTTCTGAATTAATAGTTTTGACTTAGCAAATAGATTTCTTCTATTGGCACTGCCTTGACATAATCATTGACTCTGACCTACCTATACATTCTGCCTTTGTCTTGGGTCCCCTGCTCAAACATGCAATTATGGAAAGCCTATCATTTGCAAGATATTGTGTTAGGTAACATGGAGCATAAAAAAATCTATGAGCCAAGGCTGAGTCCTTAAGAAGTCTTCCAGCAAAACCTCAGTAACCCAGGGATTTACATGGCTGAATGCTCCATTCTCTAATGCATTCAGTTCAAATCCTGTTCCCATTTCCTGGATACTTCTTAATGCCCCCTTTTCCAGTTCCTAATCATCCTTCAAATTTCTTTCATTAAGAAAACATCACCTCCTCCAGGAAGCCTTTCTGGCCTAGTCTAGTCCAGATGCCCCACTGGAGCCATCATAACACCTCCTGTTCTGGGAGGAGATATAGTATAATGCTTAAGAGTTGAGCTCTGGAGTCTGGTGGCCTCAGTTCCTGTCTGGACTCTGCCACTTACTGTATGGCCTTGGGCAAATTGCTTAACCTCTGTACCTCAATCTCATCATTAGTAAAATATGTTAATAATATTGCCTACCTTAGCGGATTGTTGGAGCTCTGGTGGCGCAGTGGTTAAGAGCTATGGCTGCTAACCAAAAGGTCAGCAGGTTCTAATCCACCAGCTGCTCCTTGGAAACCCTATGGGGCAGTTCTACTCTATCCTATAGGGTCGCTTTGAGTCAGAATTAACTCGACAGCGCCTAACAACAACACAACATGGGGTTGTTATGGGGTTTAAATGAGTTAATACGTATAAAGCCCTTAAAAAAATGCCTGGGACTTGCATCTCAAGGGCTGAAGAAATGCTAGCTATTGTTATTATCTGTTTACTTGCCTGTCTAGAGGATGACTTTTATCTTCACATCCCCCAGACCTAATATAGCACCAGAATGTTCAAGGTACAATTATTAACCAATTTTTTTTTTTTTTAATGTCCTGCAGGTCTAATCTGTGGGGCTTTTCCTCCCTTGCCCCTGGATGAAACCTCAGACAGTTCCCATGGCTTTTCTTTCAGATAATGAAAAGTCCTTTGATCACTCTAAGTCACCAGAAAGGTCTTATTTCCATAATTAAAATATCTTGTCTCATGCAATAGTCAAAAATTGCAACTACATGTAATATTAAAGTGTCTCCTGTCACCCTTCCAGCACCTGCTTTGGGCTGACAGCCTGCAGTGAGAGAAGATGGTGTGCTTGGCTTCTCTCTTCCTCTGCCAGCTTCTGCTCCCTCCACACACTTCACCTACCAGCTGCAGATTCTGACCCTACAGTATTGGAGTGGAGGGGGTGGGGGTCGAGAAGAGATAAGGGGGCAGAAAATTCTTTATTGATTAACACCAATCTCGTGCTAGTTTTCTCTAGCCGTGGGGGGATTGACTCTCTTGTTGGGTGCTTTTATAGGTTCTTCAGAGAGACACTCCATTACAGGTAGTCTCCGACTTACGATGGGGTTCCGTTCCTACGACTCTGATGTAAGCCGGTTCTGACATAAGTCAAATATCTCCTTTTTTTTTTTAGTTTTCATTATCATTGCCTTTTATTATCAGTATCTTTATAAATCTGATCCTTATTTGTCTTTGGGAGTTGGAAACATTACATATAAACTTACAGATATATTTTAACACTGTATGTAGTACATATTACTAATGATAAGATGTACCAAAAAAAAAAAAAAACAGTCAGAAATGCAGTTCATCATAACTCAAATATGTTGTAAATTGGGGACTATCTGTACTGGGACTCTCTCAACTGCAGCTCTTTGCTATAGGTTGTGCACTCTCAGGCTGATCACTCACAACTCCTTGAAGTCTAAGTTCTTTTAGGTCACCTCCACAATATCAGGAGCCCAAGAGATCAGCCAGAAACATAAGTATAAATAGCATAAGACTAAAGTATAAATAAGCATGTACTGTAATAGAGCATAAAGTATATAATAAAGCATAAAGTAAAACAAATGTAAAGTATAAGTAATATAAGCATAAATCACTTATTTACCAGAGACTGTGCCACAAAATTTCTTTTGTGGAATATTTTAATTAAATTAATTTTCAATCTGTAAATATTTTGTGTACGCAAATCGTATTTTTATAGAATATATATATTGGGTCAAATAACTTACATCAACAATATACTTCTTGCCTAGGATGTTCAGTCATCTGAGATGGTTCTTATTATTTGTCTTCAGTGAGTTTGATTTCCTTAAGTAATGGCTTTGAAAGGGAACATTCATATAGGTTTAAGTTCTCCTACATATTTACCAAGGCTGTTGTTGTTGTTAGGTGCCATCAAATTGGTTCCGACTCATAGCGACCTTATGTATAACAGAATGAAACTCTGCCTGGTCCTGTGCCACCCTCATGATCGTTGTTATGTTTGAGCTCATTGTTGCAGCCACTGTGTCGATCCATCTCATTGAGGGTCTTCCTCTTTTTTGCTGACCCTCTATATTACCAAGCATTATGTCCTTCTCCAGGGACTGGTCCCTCCTAATAACTGTCCAAAAGTATGTGAGACGAAGTCTCACCATCCTCACTCTGGCTATACTTCTTCCAAGACAGATTTGTTCATTCTTCTGGTATTCCATGGTATATTCAGTATTCTTTGCCAACACCATAATTCAAATGCATCAATTCTTCTTTAGTCTTCCATATTCGTTGTCCAGCTTTCACATGCATATGAGGGGATTGAAAAGACCATAACTTTGATAATGCACATTTTAGTCCTCAAAGTGACATCTTCACTTTTTAATATTTTAAAGAGATCTTTTGCAGCAGATTTGCCCTATGCAATACATCATTTGATTTCTTGACTGCTGCTTCCATGGGCATTGATTGTGGATCAAATAAAATAAAATCCTTGACAACTTCAATATTGTCTCAGTTTATCATGATGTTGCTTATTGGTCCAATTGTGAGGAGTTTTGTTTTCTTTACGTTTACGTGTAATCCATACTGAAGGTCTTTTATCTTCATCAGTAAGTTCTTCAAGTCCTCTTCACTTTTCAGCAAGCAAAGTTGTGTCATCTGCATATCTCAGGTCGTTAATGAGTATTCCTCCAATCCTGATACCTCGTTCTTTCTCATATAGTCCAGCTTCTCGTATTATTTGCTTAGCATTCAGACTGAATAAGTATGGTGAAAGCATACAACCCTGGCACACACCTTTCCTGACTTTAAAGCCGCACAGTATCCCCTTGTTCTGTTTGAACAACTGCCTCTTGGTCATGTACAGGTTCCTTATAAGCACAATTAAGTGTTTTGGAATTCCCATTCTTCACAATGTTATCTATAATTTGTTATGGTGAAAGATTTACCACGGCATGTTGTACTAAATCTCTCTCTGGGCATCCAAAGAGAGAGAGGGATCATATGCTGGTTGGACTGCCTGCAACTAGTGGTGGCGGAAAGGGCTGCCATAAGTCTGGGATTCCTCTTGTTCCAGAAACTCTGTCCCTACATATTGGGGAATTATAGCTCTTGATAGTTCTAATTTTCAGATTCCTCCCTCCCATCAGGAATCCATAACTTTAAAGGCCATATTCTACACAGTCAAGAGTACAAGATCCCAGTAGGCTTTCAGGACAAACGCGTCTTAGTGATCGGTCTTGGGAACACTGGAGGGGACATTGCAGTGGAGCTGAGCAGAACGGCAGCTCAGGTATATACCACCTCTGAATCTGCACCCCCACCCCATCATCATTTCTGGTTGCCAAAGTGAGTAGTCAAGATTTTAAAACACTCTGGCCAATTGCATAATTACAGGGGCACATTGTAAATGAAAAAACCCTGAAAATCTTGTGGTCTTTCCTGAGCTATTTAAGAATCCACTTTACATAATTGAACCATCTCCGAGAAGCATCCAGGAAAATTGAGTGGAAAACAGGCTACTAGGTGTTCCTTCAGGAACAAGGCCAAACGGGCAAATGGCTCCATCCAGACCAATTATCTTTCTATAGACAAACTTCTATACTCTCCCTTTGTAATTCTGTAAGGATAGAAAGGGGAGGATGTTTTCTGAACATCTCCATATTTTCTATTAGAAGTCAGATCAATACCTTGTTTTAAAATAAAGCAACTCATACTTTGCCCAAGAAGTATACATGACGATTTAAGAAAGTCCAAGCATAGATTCACAAATTAGAAATCTATTCCAATTTAGCATAAATTATAGTATAATGATTAAGTTTAGTAAGAATAAGTTTTTATTTAATTCAATTAAAATTGTTTTCCAAACATTCACTTTAAATTCTATATTATTTCTCTGTAATAAACTGCCAGATCAATACTATATATTACAAGTACTGCAATTATTTATACTAAATACGATGAACATATTTAACAGGTATATAGATCAGGTAAGAGTGATTTGTGAAAACAATGACAGCAATAGGAACAGATAGTCATTTATAAATCTTTGTACAAGCTGTTGTTATAAGACCATTTGAAGCACATTGAAGAAAAATACTTCAAAATGACTGATTGATGTATTTATCCTTCTTGCATTACCTTCTAGGTACTTCTTAGTACTAGAACTGGTGCCTGGGTTGTTGGCCGATCTTCACATGGTGGCTACCCTTTTAATATGATGATTACAAGAAGATGCTATAATTTTATTGAACAAATTCTACCTTCATGTGTACTAAAATGGATTCAAGAGAGGCAGATGAATAAAATATTTAACCATGAGAATTATGGATTAAGTATCACAAAGGGGTACTTGAATTTTTTTTTTATTTATTTAATGGAAAATGACTAAAACATTATTTGTTATTCTGTTTTATTCAGAAAAAAAAAATTCTGTTGGCAAACTAAGGACATGTGTCCTAGAATGTTCACCAAAGATATGGCTACACAATCTTTTGTTAAAGAGATTAAGCCTGTGACTGATGGATCTAACCAACTTTCACACCAGAAAACCCATCAGCTTAGACTGAAGGGGACAGAGAAAGAACAAAAGGAAAAAATGCTGTCTGTCTCTTGGAATTCTATAGGCAGGAAACAGGCCAAAGGAGATACATCTGTTGTCCTCCAAGGAAAGTAAAGGACCATCCCTGGAGCAGCTCAGATATCAGCAGAACTGTTGAAAGGAGCACAGAAAGGAGGGCCTTCTTGGTTTCAAAGGGTGGGGCCACACTCTTCTAGATCTCAAAGGGTGGGGGCCACAGCCTCCTAGGTTTCAAAAAGTACAACAGAATTTTCCAAACTTTTAAGTTCTGTTTTCATTTTGCACAGTTCATTTTTAAATCCATCTCTTTCCTCTTGCATTTTACTATAAGTGACAAGGAGAAACCACACGGCTCCTTTAAGATCTTGCTTAGAAGTCTCCTCAACCAGATATCCAAGTTCATCACTTACAAGTTATACCTTCCACCAAACATTTGAACATAATTCAGACAAGTTCTTTGTCACTGCATAAAAAGCATCGCCCTTCCTCCATTGTCCAATCACATGTTCATCATTTTCTTTTAAAGCTGCACCAGAAGCACATTTAACATCCACATTTCTAGCAACACTGTGTTGCTGGTCCCATGTGTGTATTCTTTAAGAAGATAAAGACTTTCTGTATACCTCTCCTTACTCCCTTCTGAACCCTCACCAGACTTGCCTTTGATGTCCATAATTCCACCAACAGTCTCTTTAAGGCAATCCAGGATTTTACTATTAAATAAAAATAACAAACCCATTGCCATTGAGTCAATTCACGCTTTTACTATTAGGTGCCTTAAAACTCTTCCAGCCTCAACCCATTATCTAATGCCAAAACCACTTCAACATCGTAGGTATCTATTAGAGCAGCACCCCACTCCTCCAGTACCAAATTCTGTCTTAGTTATCTAGTGCTGCTATAACAGAAATACCACAAGTGGATGGCTTTAACAAACAGAAATTTATTTTCTCATAGGTTAAGAGGCTAGAAGTCCAAATTCATGGTGCCAGCTGTAGCGGAAAGCTTTCTGTGTCATCTCTGGAGGAAGTCCTTGTCTCTTCAGCTTGTTTCCTGGTTCCTTGGAAATCTCTATGTGGCTTAGCATCTCTCTTCCCCCATCTCTACTCTGCTTGCCTGTCTAATCTCTTTTATATCTCAAAAGAGATTGACTCGAGATACACCCTACACTAATCCTGCCTCATTAACATAACAAAGACAACCCATTCTCAAATGGGACTATAACCACAGGCATAGAGGTTAGGATTTACAACACATATTTTGGGGGGACATAATTCAATCCATAACAGACATCAAACAATAACTCTAAAGCATAGATGAGAAGTTTAGGGGGCACTAAATATAACTCAAAGCCCTGGTGGTGCAGTGGTTAAGAGCTCAGCTGCTAACCGAAAGGTTGGCAGTGCAAATCCACCAGCTACTCCTTGGAAACCCTAGGGGGCAGTTCTACTCTGTTCTGTAGGGTCAGTATGGGTCGGAATTGACTTGATGTCAATGGGTTTTTTGGTTTAAATTTAACTCAATAGTGGTGAAATAATTTGGGTAGAGACAACAAGAATGATGACACAACATGAAGAATGCAACCTATGTCAACGAGTTGTACATGTAGAAATTGTTGAGTGTGTGTATGTTCTGCTGTGTATATTTTCACCAAAAATAAATATTTAAAAATAAAACAAAACAAAAAAAATAGGTCAGGTAAACAACTGTAAATTAAAAATTGGTCAATTTACTCCCTTGGTTTGGCACATAATTTCTCTGAATTGATCAAATGAATCATTTGCTTAAGTGTCTCGTATATATACCTACTGAAGATAATTTTCTCCTCTGTGTCAAAGGAAAAAATCAAAGATAATTGTGAATGATGAACTACCAACCTGTATCCTCTGTGGGTCAGTCACTATGAAAACCAGCGTGAAGGAGTTTACAGAAACCTCGGCTCTCTTTGAAGATGGGACAGTGGAAGAAAATATAGACGTTGTGATATTCACCACAGGATATACATTTTCTTTTCCCTTTCTTGAAGAACCTTTAAAAAGCCTTTGTTCAAAGAAGCTATTCCTATACAAGAAAGTCTTTCCCTCAAACCTAGAAAAGGCAACATTAGCTATCATTGGCCTCATCAGCCTTAAAGGATCTATCTTATCAGGCACAGAACTCCAAGCACGGTGGGCTACAAGAGTGTTCAAAGGTACGCTGACTCTATTGAAAGCCGTATTTGATTAACTGAATCTTAAAATTAATGGCCTGCTAGTTATTTCCCTGAATAGTGCAAACGGTTCACACTTGACCATTAACCAAAAGGTTGGTGGTTCAAATCCACCCAGCGGCACCATGGAAGTCTACTTCTATAAGATCACAGCCACTGGAAACCTTATGGAGTACAGTTGTACTCTGACACACATGGGGTTGTCATGAGTCAGAGTCAATTCAAAGGCAACAGGCTTTTTATTTATTTAAAACCACACAGATGTGCACTAAAGTAACATGAAACATATTCAAAAATGAATAATTAATTTTATATACACATAGTATTACGCTGGGTGTGCCATGTCACTCGTTGTGACTGACTGGATAAAGAGGTTGGACTCTGTGAATGGAATAAATTTGGGCTACAGAATAAAATCAGATTTATCAGATTCACTGAAATTATTAGAAGCCTCAGGACCCAAGTCTATTCTGTTCTATTCTATTTACTCCTAGGTCTTTCCATTTACTGTAGAAACAGAATTTTACATTACTTCCAAAGATATGTATTGGAATAATGCACACTGTGTCCTAGAACTTGGGGCTGGGTGCCTTCTGCCAGCCCTTTAGGCATGCCTCTTGATATGAGAGGAAGGAAGCCGGGGCAGGCCATCTTGGGTGGTGGGTGCTGATGAGGTGTGAGTGTGGTACAGACTGAGGGCTGGGCCACTGGGGTATTCTCACAATACTGGCAGTGGAATGCCCTGGTTATGTGAGTTTGGAAGGGGATTTCACCTCCAGAAAACTACCCTCTGATCTCCAATTCCATTCTAAGCTTCGACTGTCATATGTTCTGAGGCAGTGGCAGTGGAAGGCCAGAAACTAGGGGGAGGAGAACTTAAGTAAAGGGAAAGCTACGTGTGACTTTATTGTTGTTTCCAATTCTTCTCATAGGACTTTGTAAGCTACCACCATCCCAAAAATTGATGGCTGATGCCACTAAAAAGGAGCAGCTCATAAAAAGGTATGAAATACTATTTGCTACAGGGAAAACTTAGCAATACTGTATATTCCATTACCAAAAAAAAAGTTCTTAATAAAAAGCCATTCCTAGAGAAGCAGCATGGCAGATTGGAAATAACTCTACATGTGGAGTCACAAGAATTTTTTTAGTCCTAACTCTGCCTCTAGCTGGATATGCTTCCCTAGACACATCACATGGGACACCGAGGCTTCCCAGTAGCGCACAGAGCCTGCCTCCAGCAGATGGCCAGTCCTTGTCTTCACGTGGCCCCAAAATTCTGTATGTCTTCGATTTCCTCATCCTTCTCTGTATAATCTGCTGGTGGCTCCTCTTACAGATAAAAATTGGTGAACCCCAAACTTAGTCCTCAGACCTTTTCTACCTTGTATTTATACTCATCACTAGGTGGCCCTATCCAGGCCTATGGCTTTAAATACTATCATATACTTTTAGCTCCCAAACTTGTATCTCTATCTTAAATCTCACCTCTCATACGCCAGACTCCTATTCCAACTCTCTCTGGATATTTCCACTTAGATATTTAATGGGTGCCTCAAATTCAGTGGACCAAAAAAAACTTTTGCCTCCCCACCACTACCCTAATACTCTGCCAGTGGGCTGTTCTCAGACTCTTCCCCATCTCAGCAGATAGCTATTCATTTCAGTTGGTCAGTCAAAAACCTTGGAGTAATTTTTTTCTCCTCTTTTCTTCTCACACCCCACATCAGCAAATCCTGTCAACTCCTACCTTCAAAATTAAACCAGAACCCAAGCACCTCTCACTACTCCACTGCTATGACTCTAGACCAAGCCACCATTATCCCTCACCAGGAGGATTGTAATTACCCCTTATCTGATCTCCCTGCTTTCACTCCTGCTGTTCTACAGTCTGTTCTTGACAGAGCAGCTAGAGTGAGGCACATCGTGTTGTTTCTGTGTACAAAACCCTCAGAATCCTCACTGCAGCTTCCAAGGCCCTGCAGAACACCCAGCTCTCTCTGCCCTCACTGCCTACTGTGCTCCCATCTCATCCACAGTGCTCCAGGCACTCCAGCTTCTGGGCTATTCCTCAAACACACCAAGCATAACCGCCTCAGAACCTTTGCACTATTCCCTCTGCCTAGAATGTTCTTACCCCAGGCATCTGCATGGCTTACTCTGCTCAAGTATCACCTCATAAGAAAGAAGACTTTCCAATAGATAAGTGGTATCTTTGGTGAAGGATGAGACAGTACACAATACTGGGGAAACCAGCACAGCTTGTACAAGGAAAGGTCATGGAAGCTCCATAGAAACATCCAAACTCCCTGAGGGACTGAATTGCAGGGCGGAGGGCTGTGGGGACCATGGTCTCAGGGAACATCTAGCTTAATTGGCATAACACGGTTTATAAAGACAATGTTCTACATTCTACCTTGGTGAGTAGCATCTAGGGTCTTAAAAGCCTGTGAGCAGCCGTCTAAGATACTCCACTGGTCTCATCCCTTCAGGAGCAAGGGAGAATGAAGAGAACAGGATGCAAGGAAAACATTAGTCCAAAGGACTAATGGACTACAGCTACCAAGGCCTCCATCAGACTGAGTCCAGTACAACTAGATGGTGCCTAGCTACCACCACTGACTGCTCTGACCAGGATCACAACAGAGGGTTCTGGACAGAGCTGGAGAAGGATATAGAACAAAATTCTAACACACACAAAAAAGACCAGATTGACTGGCCTAAGGGAGACTGGAGAAACCCCGAGAGTATGGCCCCCCAACACCCTTTTAGCTCAGTGGTGAAGTCACTTCTGAGTTCACCTTCAGCCAGGGATTGGACAGCCCCATAAAACAAAACAGGACTAATGAGGCATAGCAGTCCAGGAACAAGGGCTAGAAGGCAGAAGGGGACAGGAAAGCTGGCGATAGGGAACCCACGGTTGAGTAACAACAGTGTTGATGTGTTGTGAGGTTGTTAACCATTGTCATAGGGCAACATGTGTACTAACTGTTTAATGAGAAACTGTTTTGTTCCGGAAAACTTCATCTCAAGTGAGAATAGCAGCACAATTGGATGAGCGTAGTCAATGTCACTGAACTGTGCATGTAGAAATTTTTGAAATGGTGTATCTTTGGCTATGTATATTTTCACCAAAAAAAAAAATGTTAAGAAGGGAGAGAGTTGACATGTCGTGGGGTTGTTAACCAATGTCATAAAACCGTATGTGTACTACTGTTTAATGAGAAACTTATTTGCTCTGTAAACCTTCACCTGAAGTACAATTTAAAAAAGAAAGAAGCCTTCCCTGACAATGCTATAGAAAATAGCAACCCACCCAGACTCACTACTTACTCTCCCTTTACCTACTGCATTAGTTTCCTAGGCATGCCATAACTAAGTACCACAAGCTGAGTGGCGTTAGACAACAGAATGTATTGTCTTCCAGTTCTGAAGGCTAGGATTCCAAAATTAGGGTGTTGGCCATGTTGATTCCTTCTGATGGCTATGAGGGAGAATCTGTTCCGTGCCTCTCTCTTAGCTTCTGTTGATGGCAGCCATCTTGGTGCTGCAATCTGTGCCTCCATCTTCACATGGCCATCTTCCCTCTATGTGTCTCTCTGTGTTTCTTCTCCTCTTTTATAAGACATCACTCATATTGGGTCAGGATCCACCCTATCCTAGTATGACTTTATATTAACTTAACTGAAAACATCTTAAAAGACCCTATTTCCAAACAAGGTCACATTCACAGGTAACATGGGTTAGGACTTCAACATATGTTTTTGAGAAACGGCATGTAATACATGGCACTCTCCTTTATATTTCTTCATAATATTCATTACAACCTGATATATTACATATCTATTTGTTTGTTCTTTTTTTATTGTATTTAGATGAAGGTTTACAGAGCAAATTGTTTCTCATTAAACAATTCATATACATACGGTTTTGTGACATTTGTTGCCAATTTCACAACATGTCAATACTCTCCCCTTCTCGACCTTGGGTTCCCCATTACCAGCTTTCTTGACCCTACCTGCCTTCCCGTCGTTGCCCCTGGGCTGGTGTGGCCACTAAGTCTCATCTTGTTTTATGGACCTGTCTAATCTTTGGCTGAAGGGTGAAACTCAGGAGTGACTTCAGTACTGAGTTAAAAGGGTGCCCGGGGGCCATACTCTCGAGGTTTCTCCAGTCTCTGTCAGACCAGTAAGTCTGGTCTTTTCTCGTGAATTAGAATTTTGTTCTACATTTTTCTCCAGCTCTGTCCAGGACCCTCTGTTGTGATCCCTGTCAGAGCAGTCAGTGGTGGTAGCCAGGCACCATCTAGTTGTACTGGACTCAGTCTGGTGGAGGCTATGGCAGTTGTGGTTCATTAGTCCTTTGGACTAATCTTTCCCTTGTGTCTTTGGTTTTCTTCATTCTCCCTTGCTCCAGATGGGGTGAGACAAGTGGAGTATCTTAGACGGCTGCTCACAAGCTTTTAAGACCCCAGACACTACTCACCAAAATAGGATGTAGAATATTTTCTTTATAAACTATATTATTCCAATTGAACTAGATGTCAGCTGAGACCATGGTCCCCAGCCCTCAGCCCAGTAATCCAGTCCCTCAGGGAGTTTGGATGTGTCTATGAAGCTTCCATGACCTTGCCTTCGCCAAGGTGTGCTGACTTGCCCAGTATTTTGTACTGTCTTACCCTTCACCAAATTTACCACTTATCTATTGTCTAGTTAGTGTTTTTCCCTCCTCAACCCTACCCTTCCTTGTAACCAAAAAAGATTGTTTTTTTTTCTGGGTGTAAACCTTTTCATGAGTTTTTATAATAGTGGTCTCATACAGTATTTGTCCTTTCACTCAGCATAAGGCCCTCCAGATTCATCCATGTTGTGAGATGTTTCAAAGATTCATCATTGTTCTTTATCATTGAATAGTATTCTGTTGTGTATGTACCGTAGTTTGTGTATCCGTTCATCTGTAGATGGACACTTAGCTTGTTTCCATCTTATTGCTATTGTAAATAATGCTGCAATGAACATAGGTGTGCCTATGTCTATTTGTGTGACTGCTCTTACTTCTCTAGAATATATTTCCAGGAGTGGGATTGCTGGATCATATGGTATCTCTATTTCTAGCTTTTTAAGGAAGTGCCATATCGTTTTCCAAAATAGTTGTACAGTTTTGAATTCCCACCAGCAGTACACAAGAGTTCCAATCTCCCTGCAGCCTCTCCAGCATATGTTATTATCTGTTTTTTGCTTTCTGTTTTTTATTAGTGCCAGTAATGTTGGTGTGAGATGGTATCTCATTGTGGTTTTGATTTGCATTTCTCTAATGGCTAGTAATAACGAGCATTTCCTCATGTGTCTGTTAGCCACCTGAATGTCTTCGTTGGTGAAGTGTCTGTTCATATCCTTTGCCCATTTTTTAATTGGATTATTTGTCTTTTTGTTGTAGAGGTGTTGGATTTTCTCATAGATTTTGGAGATTAGACTTTTCACAGATTTTTCATAGCCATTTTTTTCTTCGCTTTTTTGGTGAAGTCTTTGATGAGCGTTAAGTGTTTAAGTTTTAGAAGATCCCAGTAATCTAGCTTATCTTCTGCAGTTTGTGTATTGTTAGTTATGGTTTGTATCCTAATTATGCCGTGTATTAGGGCCTCTAGCATTGACCCTATTTTTTCTTGTATTATCTTTATAGTTTTGGTTTTATACTTCGGTCTTTGATCCACTTTGAATTAGTTTTTTATATGGTGTGAGGTATGGGACCTGTTTCATTTTTTTACAGATGGACATTCAGTTTTGCCAGCACCATTTGTTAAAAAGAGTGTCTTTTCCCCACTTAATGAACTTTGGGCCTTTGTCAAAGATCAGGTGACCGTAGGTGGATGGATTTACATCTGAGTTCTCAATTCTGTTCCATTGGTCAATGTGTCTGTCATTGTACCACTATCATAGCTGTACAGCAGTTTCTGAGGTCAGGTAGTGCAAGGCCTCCTACTTTATTCTTCTTCTTCCATAGTG